GGGGGCTGTGTAGGAAGGGGGGGGGGGGAATGAAGGGTGAACAGAGACGGCCTTAATGGTTCGGCCGCTCTGAATGGCCGCCATTTCAAAAAACGACTGGTGAAGATGGAGCTAAAACTAAATAAGTAAAACTTCCTTTAATTAAGTGCATTTGTTCTTGAATTGAGCAGGTAAGCGACATACTTTGCCAATTGAATTAGACAATTTACATTTGAAATAAGAAAAAAACAACTGCCGTCACTTTTTTAAAGTGCATAATATCTGATTTTCTTATTTTAAGGCTAAAAAGACTCATTCCACTGGCAGATCGTCTCATTTACCCACTCAAATTAAGAGTAAATACACTTATTTTAAGGATGTTTTACTCATTTTAGGATTGTTTTTGCAGTGTGGGACCCTTTTTCAACCTGGATCCTCGCTCTTTTTGGCCCTCATGTCCCTCCGTTGTCACACAAACCGCCTCGGCCGTATCTAGACCCACAGCTAGTTCCTGATTGGCCCTCTGGCGTCGTGGCGTGGAATAACATAGAGCAGACCACGCTTCAATATTGGGCAGAAATCAAAATTTTATCCGCCTGAAAACATCCGATCAGCTCCAGCAGGCTTCCCAGCAGCAGCCGACCCAGTTTGGATCAGTCTGACCCCCCCCCTGACAGGTGACGTAAAAGAGAACAAACCCACGCAGGCAGGCAGCAACCATCCAATCATGTGTCTCCTGTGAAAGTATTCACACCCTCAGACCTCTTTCTTATGTCATCACATGAAGTTTGACAGGATTGGGAAACAAAAAGAAAATAATTTCACTCTCTTTTTAAAAAATGGGGAAATGGCAGCCAGAAATCAAATGATGTTTTACTCAGTCCCCCCCAAAAAAAAAGCTTTAGAGAAAAGAAAAACACCAGGAAGTTAATCTGGAGTTAATCCAGAACAAGGGATTCAGTCAGAGCACAAAACATCGACTGAGGAGAAACACTCAGACTGACATGAGCCATGTTTCCTCCACCCTTTAGAAACCGCGCAGAGATCGGGCCGAGAACCGAGGTGAACGCTTGAGTTTAAATGGCACGCACAACTGAACCGGACCGTGCTAGACCCAACCCAACCGTGCGGTACAGTTCTGGCTCGGTTCTCAGATAACAAAGAACTCATGAGCAGACCGCCTCATCTCCTCACAGTCAGCCTCCGTAATCAGGAAATTTTATAGATTCATGAAAATCCCAGCTTCCCCACCGCGCCGCATGATTTCCAGTGATGATTCTGCTCAGCAGTGAGATGAACTTCAACGTCTGTCGTTGTTTCCTGCGTCTAGAAGCCCTGACTAGACTATTTTTTGTCGTATCCACTTCCCAAAAGCCGACTCTATCAAGGAAATTCACCACAGGCTGCCTTCTTGGCCTGACTCTCCGCAAACGTCCGCCATGTTGGTTTGCTTGTTTCCCTCTAGAGAGCAGTAGTACCGTAAATCGCCACTAGGAGGCTAGGAACTGTGCCAGTGTGATGTGTAAACGGTCGTTAGGAACCGAGCTCGGCACGGTTAACGGATGGGTTTTCAGAGGGTAGTGTAAATCGGGGCTACAGGGTGGCGGCAGCATCATGCTGTGGGGAAGCTGTTTGCCACATAAAGGATCCTCAGTGTTCAGCGTGGCGATTTTCTGCCTCCTACCTTTCCTTGAAAGCCTTCTCAGCCATCTCCCGCGCCGCCTGGCGGACCTCCTCTGGAACGGCGTCCTTCTCAGCCTGGGAGACCTGGTAGACCTTGTGTCCGGCATCCAGGCGGTACGGCCCCCCTTTGCCTCCCAGGCCTGCGGTGTCTCTGCCACCTGGAGGGGAAATCCCACAGTGAGGGGGAGGGAATAAGGCACAACGTTTAATGTGCATCTAGACCGGGGGTCACTAACCGGTGGACTGCAGTCCAGGTCCCCACTTAGACCTGGACTGCAGTCCAGGTCCCCACTTAGACCTGGACCTCCAGACATTTTAAGCAGCAACATGAATTAATGGCATTTTTGTTCGGATAAGGATTTTAATCAGGCACAGCTTTGACAGCCTGGCTGCAGCTCTTCAGGCCCTCTCTTCCAGTCACCTTAGAGCTACGGCTGGTTTACGCTCAGATGAGAAGCCGTGACAGAAACGCCCTGCCGTTAAATCTGTAGATGGCTTCTTCAAACGTCAGGAAGGTGGATTATGAGAACCAGGCGTTGAAAGAGGAGCTGACTGACTGTTCTCCTGCAGCATGCAACACGTCTGATCTGTTAAACCTGCTGCAAGTCTGTGGCCATCGTAAAAAGTGGAAACGTTAAACGCCACTATGATTCTAAACATAAAAGCTTAGAGGAAACTTTTCCAGAAGGAACAAATAATTGAACTGGGATCCCAGTCTGATGGTTCTGATGGTTCTGACGCGGTTCCTGACGGCTGCACAGGAGGATTCGTTAACAGTGCAGTAGATATATCCGATGTCTTTAGTTGTTTGTAAGGAAAAACATGTTGATTTAGAAAAAGATCACGTCGTCTTATGAGTTCAAAATTTTTTTCACTGCACTGCAAAACATGGAAATGTAAATACGTCATTTTAGCTTAAATTAAGTGCATTTTACTTGAATTAAGGAGGTAAGACACTTTGCCAACTGAACAAGACAATTTACATTTAAAATAAAATAAAAAATTGCCTTATTTTGTCTTATTTTAAGTGCATATTATCTAATTATCTTATTTTAGTGGTAAAAATACTCAATCTTCTATTGGTAAATCATCTTATTTACCGACTCAAATTAAGGGGAAATACACTTTATTTAAGACATTTTTTACCTATTTGTAGAGGATCTTTACAGTGTGTGATCTTCTCATGGGGAAATGCATCGTAGTAAATGTTTTTGAGATTTCAGTTTTTATTAACATTGACTTGTTAAAAGTCATTATTTTATAAAGGCGGCTCTTTAGCTTGTTTGGTGCTTAAAGGCACAGCGTGGACTTTGTGACGTAAAGAGTTAACGCGGTATTAACCTAGCTGCTGTTTACCACCTGCCAAAAAAAAAAAAAAACTTAATTTAAGACATTTTTACTCATTTTAGATCATTTTTGCAGTGTGTCTGAATCACATGCTTGCACTGCAAAAACCATCTAGAAATACATTAAAATGTCTCAAATTAAGTGTATTTACCTTTAATCTGAGCAGGTAAATAAGATCATCTGCCAATGGAATTAGTATTTTTTAATATTAAAATAAGATAATTAGATAATATGCACTTGAAATGAGACAACAAATTGTTTTTTTTCTTATTTTAAATGTAAATGATCTTGTTCCATCAGCAAAGTGTCTCACTTTCCTCCTCAATAAAAGGCCAAATGCACTTATTTTAATAAAGACTGACTTAATTAGATCTCTTGCAGGTGACACAGCTGCCCAGTAAGGACTGGGGCGTAGCGCCATCAGGTGGTTACCTGTGCCTCCGGCCCACTGGTTGCCCCCCACATGGGGAGCGTTGCTGGGGTCCAGCTTGCCGTGTTTTGGTGCAGAAACGTCCAGGCCGCTGTCCCTCTGGATGGTGATCTGGAAGGAAGGAGTTTGATTTATTTCTGGATCAACTATTATTACATTTGTTCTCATTAAGGATGAAATAACTGATCCGTTTTTCTCTATTCAGATCAAATGATTTTGAGGACTTTGTCGTTTCTCTGCGCCCTGCGATGCAGCGACGGCCGACCTGAGGGGAGCCGTTTCTGAGGTCGGAGCAGGAAGACGGAGACGCCTCCGTGTTAAACAGTCTGAGTTTGGCCCAAAGCTGCCGGTCAGAACCAGAACAGGGAAGAGAGGGGCGGTTCGGAGCGTCGCTCCCTGGATCAGCTGCTTTCCCACAAACTGAGGGAATCTTTCAGATTCTCCTAAATCCCTGGATGGCTCCCAGAGCCACCTGCAGGTCTCTGAGCTTCCATTCATGCTTCTTCCAAAGTGACAGAAAATGAACAGAGACTCTTCAGACAGAGAAGCTCAGCTGGAAAAACGCTGCAAATATTTACATCTTAGCACATTAATCAGCTGATGAATGAAAAACGTCCAATAATCATCAATCAACTGCAAAAAAAAACAACTTCAGCTACTCTGGCTGGGCCTAACATAGATCACAATAGAACAGAATAGAATCAAATTCAAATAAATAAATAAAACATCATGGAAACGATGACATAAAATAACAAAGTACAATTGCATAAATAAATAGAATCATCTAGAATAGAAAAGAATAAATAAAGAATGAAATGAATCCAAATAGAATCAAGTAGGATTAAAGACAATGAAAAAAGACTAAAATAGAATACAAATAGAATTAAAGAGAAATTTAACAGAACAAAATAGAACTGAATAAAATAGAAAAACAAAAAAATAATAGAATACAATTAGAATAGCAGAGAAAAAGAGATTCATCTAGAGTAGAACAGAATAATCTGATCTGATTTATCTACTCAAATTAAAGGTAAATACACCTGATTAAAGGAAGTTTTTCTGTAACGTTTTCCAGTGTAGGGTCTGTGTTTTCCAAAGCGAAGTGTTTGTTCTTCAGTGGGAACTTGGAACGACCCCGGCCGCTCTGAAAGGACTCATTTCAAAGCATCACTCATCATTTTCTTTTATCCCCTGAGTGGAATATTCATCACCTTCATTCTCTGACGAGGAAGCGAGTCCCCGGCGCGTCGTTCTGTCAGCAGCCCAACAATCCGATCCATGTAAAGCACGATGACAAGTGTGGATTACTGGAACAAGATGGTGCTGAGGAAATCCTGCTGGCTCAGTTTCCCGTCTGATTGATGGAGTTTATGGACTGAGGGATTTCAGGAAGCGGCCGGCGCTGTTGGTTCTATCTTTGGCATGGGCTGGGGGGGGGCGCTGGCTTGTGTTTTTTTTTTTTTAGCATGATCAGAGTCGCGTTTCGAAGGACTTTCTCAGCATATGTTGACTCAGAGCAGCGAAGCGTTTGATGCCACCTTCCCGGCAGCACAGCCCGTGTTTAATGGAGGAGAATCAGCCGGATTTGTTCTGTGAGTCAGAAACACCCGGATCGAGTTCACACAGAGCTGCTGACGGTGACCTCTGACCCCTTACCTAACCACACATCTCTCTGGTTGCTGAGCCCGATTCAGCCGCCTGCTCACACACTTCCTGTTGATTGTTGCTAAAGCTGGAGATGAGCAACGCTCTGTTGCTGCGCAGCAACGCTTTCTGCCCCGAACACACAGGACCGGTTAGATAACCTTTAACCCCACAAAGTTTACCATTTACAGCCTTTAGAGGAAAAGTCCGGTCAGCGAGGATGGATCATTATTTAAGCCTAAAACTAATATGTTTGTAGTGATTTAATGAATTT